CGGAAAGAGTTATTTTTCATATAAATTTCAAGAAAAAACGAAAGTATGCAACACGTGAAAGATGGGTACATGGGTGTTGTTATAACATACCATTAGATGAACTGCCCGTTTGTTTGCAACTTTATCAATAGTAAAACGGATTGTTCCTTGTTATATTTACCAACAATAAACTGGAGATGAAGAAATCCAAGACTTGATCAGAAGAGAATCGTATTAAGAAGAACAAAACTATTTCTCATGAGTTCGATCGAGCGATGCAGCGTCTTAATACCAATCAAAAGGCAGTTAATGAAGAAAGTATTGTCTGCGAAAAACAAAAAGCTTAATCTCGAATTGAGGTTATAAAATGCATTGTTTTAAAAGGTTTCTTACGATGAAACCGCCCGCAGGTAATCTCCCATAACAATAATAAATATGATATTCACATTAACTAATGTTGCCAGTCTTTTATAATTTCGAACACTTATATTGTGCTTTCAAAAATATTTATCACTGTACAAATTACGGACCGTTCCATTGTTGCCGACCAGCTTGATGTGTGCGGTTTAAGTTGGAGACTGGCAATGATATTTTACATCTTCTCTAATATACATATATACAAATAGAGCTAATTTAGTTGGAACAAAATGATTTACTCATTAATTAATTTAATTAAGGTATTTTAAGATCATATTTCACTTTTGAGTTCATAAATGTGGGCTCCTAAACAAATACGAGGACAATTAAGAATCTACACCTTCCAAGTAATTTTAAGCAACTGCACTGATCCTTCTTCAAAATTTGTAAAATAAGAAAGTCAAATATAGCGCAAATTATTTGTCCAATGAGGAGCGCCTCTTAAGTAGTTTTGATATAAAAAAATAACATCGATTTGTACATATTTGTAACAATGTTAAGATTATTGCTGCGATCGTCGCTTCCGCGTTTGACTTAAGCCACACTATATGATATGAGGCCGACGCAGTCATAACTGAGATGGATTGGGGAACATTACGCGTTCACGTCTTAATCTGAGACGATGGCGATTAGCGGAGCGATTAATTAGTACAACGCCCGGGGGACAATGGTCGGGCATTCGTCTTAATTCCGAAACCCGTGGAAGGGTATTAAAGCCTTTTGTTGGGCAACGCAAGGCTGATGGCTTAATCTGTAATTATGCCGTGCATAGATTGATTTTAACGCGGCCTCAAAGTACAAAAGGGAGATTGCATAACGGACTTCGAACATCGACTCAGTTTTTGTTTCGTTTTTATTGCATTGAAATGCAGTTAAATTGCTTTTCGCCTTTGGAACCTTAACACGCAAATCTATTTGTCTAATATATGTTGTCAAGGTTAGAATTGGATGAATTTAAATCGTCTGCAATTTCTTTTTCACGTTGATTTTAGTCTCTTATTTTTACTTATGATTATCGAGAATACCATATGAAAAAAAAAAAACAGTCTTCTGTTATTTTGAAGTAAGTCAAAATTAATTTACATACAGATAAACCAATGAGTTTGAGAAAGATACGATGGCATAAAAATAAAGACTTTTAAATATTTGACAAGAAAAATTTTGCAAATTTAGATAAAATTAAGTATCCCTCAGCAACAAGCGCGAACATCCGCGACAACAATCATTGTTATCGACAAAAGCTATTAATTACTAAGATAAACGCTATTCAGCGATACATCGAGCTCGTAAATACAAATATTGACATAGTTCGCGCTTGACACCGCCTTAACCTCTACAATTATCACCTCTATTATTATATATTATCTATATCTAATTTTATTGTCAGCGCTAACCAAATTAACATGACCCTTGATAACGTTTTGTACATTCACCGCCGCTAGCGATTCGCTCCAGTAGCCGAGAGGGTCGGAAATCTATTTAGAGTGGGTACTCAATTGCAATGAATAAATACACAGTTACAGCTCACTGATATGGCTTAGACTAAATAATAAGTTTCTTGCGAGATTATTTCCTCCTATTTATAAGCGTGATATTTTTGAATTACTATACTTACATAAATTTAATAATTTGACGTTAGTGCCGATAGAAAACTCGAAAGTATAACGGACCGTAATCTATAAGAATCATTTCAGCGTCATCATGTTTTTGATTCAGACTCACGAAACTATTTAACACTCATTTGGTTAAATTTCTTTTAACAATGAAGCTCATGCTTATATTTTGATGTACTACCTGCTCTCCGCGACTACGTCTGCGTAGGATAAATAGGTTGACGGCGTAACATTCAGACAGAGAGACAGATATGCATAAAATATGTATATTAGTTATAGCCTATGTCTTATTCTGATGTATAAGATATATTATTGTAAAGTTTGATTAAAATCTGTTCAGTATTTTTTGCGTGGAAAAGTAACAAACATCCATCCATATATACAAACTTTCGCGTTTATAATATTAGTAAAAATGTAAGCATTAACATTAAGAACTATATTATTATCCACTTACCCTTATATCACCTAGGTGGGGTCATTACAATACGTGAATCATGTTATAAGTGGTTTTATCACGACCGGCCGGCTGCCTGACGTCAACCCTCCTTGGGATAAAATATCCAGATACGAAACAACTATTTGTGCACAAATACACACAAATACTTATTCCGTGTGGGAATCGAAATTTATTTTTAAAATTTTTATAGCGCTGTTATCTGCACTTAAGATGAAGCATCAAAATTTGTAGAAAAACGGGCGAAAATTTTTTCGCCGCTAAGTCTTCCGGATTCGCGCCCAGACGCTTTAACCACTAAGCTCGTCTCAGCGTCTAATGTACATTGCTTTTTGGCATTTCAAGCAATGCTCAGAGCATTTATTGTTATATCCTTTACAACATACAAACAATTTCAAATATCGTTTTACCACAATTCGAGCGAGAGATGTCACTGTGATGCTAATATCTGCATTTAAGATAAAACATTAAAATTTGTGTTTTTTTATAAAAAAAAAAATAACTCAAGTATTTTTCGCTCTCACATTTCGAGGGATTAGTGTCTAGAAGGCACAAGATCTAAATCAGAGGCCTTTTTGCAAGCGGTTAACTTAAACAAGATGTAGGAACTACACTATCGGATTTAGTTATACTACTATGTGTTATGTACTAGGTTACTGTATAAAATTGCAACAGTGTGCGTGACGTACAATCAAACACCTCGTTAAAACTCGCCTAATGGCGGTTATAATAATATTTCGTTAAAATAAACCAAACTCGAGCGATGTGACGCCTCTTAGGGCTTTTTATGACTTCCGTCGCAAAACGTTCTCAGAGAACTCTCGTTGAGAGTCAAATATCTATAAAAACCTAGTTAAGGCGGCGCTTAACGCTTTTATAGTGGACGTGCGGTGGTCCAACTCTTAACATTGTTTTTAATGAGTCATATAATGGCCAATTAAATTATGTGCATCGTGCCGAGGATACGTGGTGTGCGCGCGGTTTAAGCTGCGACACTAAAACTCTTGGGTAGCTATTAAACTGTTACTCAAGTTTATATAATAACCGTTATGTTAAAGTACAGTACAAAAAGTAAGGAAAAAGAAAGCCGGTAATAAAATGATGTTTACTCTGCAAGCCGTTTATGGAGATTTAAACAATAGGGCCCAAGAGGAGATTGGTAAATTTACCACCACACTGACTAATGTTGTAGAGTATAATGAAATGTAAAATTAGATTATGTGTTTTAAGTTTAAAGCTAAATGCATTCAGAACAATAAAATTGAATTAATAATTCCATGAAATGAAGGGGTCGGAGAATTGTGAAGGAAAACGTATTTAATTCAAATTCCATTATGTAAAGTGGCTTGTAATTTTTAATGAATTTACATAATTTCAACGACTAAACGATTTTCTTTGGGACCCCAACACCTTAGGTGCAAGAGAGAAGATATCGACTAACCGCTACTAAATTCATTGAGAAAATTTTCTTAATTAATTAACTTCAAACCTTATACATTATAGGCAGTAGACGGATAAATTTAATTACTATTCGAATAATGGTTTCCGCGTCGTTTGATAAACCTTTCGAAACAAAACATTCGATTAATGAACTGACGTCGGAAATTGCCAATAATGAAGGTGACTCAAGATCAAACGTACTTATTAATGTTGATAGTAATTACGTACACAGTATTATAAAGCGAGTTGAAAAGAATCACAATTTGACACGAATCTTAATAGGATTTATCGATGTGTATAAATTTGTTTTTTTATTATTTTTTCACGCTTTTACGCCTAATCCGAAATAAAGTACAGTTTCGGTGGTAGGGCCACGCAACAGTGTTTGCCGTTGCACGAATGGTCCGTCCGGGTTTACTAACCGGTCTTCTGTGAGTTCTACAAGACCGGCGTCAAGCAGTAGTGTTACACTTCTGCGTTTCGTCTGGTGAGTGAGGTAGCCGGGGCCCACTTTTGAAAGAGCCACACAATTAAGAAGTGGCAACGCATCTGCAACCCTACGGGTGTTGCAAATGTCCATGGGCAGGCGGTTATCACTTAACATCAGGGGAACCGCTAGCTCGTTTGCCACTTTCTCACATTAAAAAAAAATGTTGTTTTTACATCACATATTGATCCTCGTATACACCTAATATGATAAACAACGGGTCATAACATTACTAAATTGATTTTTTCCTATTGCAAAAGAATCACTCCAACCAGTGATTAATAAGATATTAAAGAAGACTGATGTTCGAGTGTTGGCAATTTCTGAGATTGTGCTTAACTTATTCGGAAGAAATTCTTTATGTACATAGAAATTCTTTATATATATATAATGTACTTGGGACTTCTGTAAAGCTTTGGTACTTGCCCAAGCTGGCCTATTCATGCAGTGGGGGACATGTAACATCTAACACAGGTAAATAAGGCTGAGTGAAAAATTCATGTATTTTAACAGAGAATGTAATGCTGTCAGACCTTTCCAATATGACTTTTCCATTAAGCAGTGAACTGCTCAGCAGCCCTTGCCACTAAAAGTAAATAAATACACTTACTTGTTCTGCTTGACTGGTGTGGTTGACGGTGTGGGCCGCTTCTCTTCTTTGATCGTGCTGTTATTCATTTTCGACGTTAATCTCTTCAGAACGTCGTCCATAGACCGCTTGTGTGGCGGAGCAAACGACAACGCGCTATTGTGGTTCAATAGGGAATTGTTGTTGTTGCAGAGTCCTAGCTTGGCCTCCGCGCCGGGGCTACTGCATTCAGAGGAGCCTCGTCTTCTCGCTTGCAAATCATTGACTTGGTGCAGGCTGAGGAAAGATGACGGGACTAGAAGATTGTTTGTCATGTCTATTGTTTGCTCGAATCGTTGCTTCTTCGATGGGCGTTCTTCTTCGTAGTTCGAAGCGTCTTCTTCGCTGATCGAGCTTCTCGTCGAGGAGCTGGGGGAGAATTTGTAGTAGTTCTGTTGTTCGTTTTCGTCGGACTCCTGGTGATCGGAGAACTCTTGGTTGGCTGGGCCCGCTTCGGGTTTCTCGTTGTCGGCTGCTCCTTCTTGCAATTTCGACGGTGGAGATTTTCGTTTAGATGACATGTTTCTGCAAGAAAAAAAGAAAGGTTTTTTAAGTTAAATATATTTAAGGTACTCTAAGGTGTCACTCTGATAAGTCTAAAATGCTTAAAACCAATTTTCGTGATTTATATTCATTATGTTAATACATAATGTAGGCTGTGTTAGGTATGTCAAAAATTCATAAGTTATGTTTTCAAATATTCTTGTTTGAATATTTACTTTGGTATATGTATTTAGCTTGTAACATTTCTTAACAAAATAATAAAGATTAGGTTATTTGTTTCTAGTTTTAGTACTTCGACTCATCTAATTGGTATCATCGATCGAATTATACAAGCGTATTTAATCAAACACAAACATAATGTTCAAATACTGCGATCCAACTCAGGTCGGGCGTCAAACGTCGTATTTGTCATCAAACTCTCCGACTAGTTAGGAAACTCGCTTCGTTAAAGCACCTAATTGGGCTCTGCTAATTGTACTAATTGCAGTATCTGCCTCCTTTGGACGTAAGGTGTCCGCTAGACTATGCGAGCCGACCAATCGCGCAAGATCTCCGAATCGTCCACGAGATCCTCCTTAATGTCTGTATTACCGAGAGATCCGGATTTGAACAGATCCCATTACGCTTAATTAGGTAACAAGATTTGTTCATGTGTGCCCAATAACCGCGAAGACGGCACCCATAACGCGTTTGTGACAGATCAGGGCCATGTGTGTGTGCGTGCGTTCGCAAGGAATCTTTGATGGTGTGCAATTCGTACATACAGCCGGGTAGATCAATCCGATCTGGGTAGGAAGTTCTCATTGGTTGTGCCAACAAACGGATTTCTTGTTCAGACAGTGTCTGCCGTTTCTGCTTTGAAGCTTGTTTGAGTTCGACTCAGTTGTACACATTGAGACTAACATTAATTTAGTTTTAAATTTAGAGTTAACTGGATATCGCGTCTGTTGACGTCTCCCGATAAAATTTTGCCCGACCCCGTTTTTCCTCTTCTCTTTCTGTATGTTTAACGCGAATCGAAAAAAAAAAAGAAAACAGACGTCACATACGTATTTCTCCCTTGCGAATGATTAATGAACAGAGCGTTAATTAATTATTACTACGTTTACAGTAATAACATTGTTTAGAAGAATGAATCATCGTATTCTTTCCAATACTCAACAGAACAAGCGCGATATTATTTTTAAGCGTTGCCAATAGAACTTGTAAAACGTGCAGGCACTAAAATGAAATAAACAATCAGCAAACCGGTAGCTGGTGCTCGGAGTTATTGCTCTCCAAATACAATAAAAGTCCCGCTAACACAGTACCATGAAGCCACGTGTTAGTGCCCTCTTGACAAAGGGGGCGGCGGGACATACGATGTACGAAATACTCTGAGGATCCATTTTCACCAATTCCCGGTGAAAATAGGAAAATATATAATTTCTACAAGATTAAATAATATTAATACAAATGTAATTAGAAGAACTCCCACTGCAAAAGTAAACAAACCACTGACCTGAACCCACTGCTGGGATAATTCATATAAATCCTTTAGTGTTAATCGAAATAAATACTTTAATTCAAATTTTATGATGTTGCTAGATAAGTAATGCCTAAGTAATTATATGATAATAAAGAAATATAACAATATTCAGAATAATGAGTAAAAAGTAGTAAATATTCAATAAAATTCAGGGGACAGAAATAGGAATACGGAACAATTCGTTGACAACTGGTAGACAAAAGCAAAATGTTAACAAAGTGTTGACAAATTAACACTTCGGCGCAATAAAAACTGATTCTAAATTGGCCAAAATATTTAAGATAGCATATTCTTAAAGTCGCTCGATACAAATACGATATTACAAAAAATTAAAACAAAAGTTTTACGACGATACGTTATTTTATTCGTAGCTCGTAGGTGGCAGACTAATTTGTCGGTTTTGCCGCATCGCCACCGACTTACGATAGAAGTCATGGCATCGGTAAATTTATTTCCTGATACTACAGAATGAAATTCATGAAACAAAAACCTCTCGGAAACGAGACATTACATTTATAATAATACTGCATACAGTCACGTTTTTAATTTTTAATAATATGACTCTATATTAATTTTTTTTAAATCTGTTTTTTTTTTAAATCGGTATCCACTTACCAAAAAGCTTTTGATACCACTTATCATAAAAGAAAAAATAAGCTTAAATTACTTTTGAAAAATGTCTCAGCTTGTTTTATGATTTTCCTTTTCAATAGATTTGAAGGTAAATAAGTAACAAATCGGATTTTCTTGTTGACAAAGCCCACAACCCCACCCTTTAGTGTTTCGTTTAACGAAAACAATTTGGTTATGCCATTGTCTCACTCCGCTTCCCCCACGTTGTGAAATTGAAATCAGCTGTGTCCTATTGAACTATTTGGTGACGCGTTCATAATGTTTCTTCAGATTATTTTCTGTCATTAATATCCCATTCTAATATATGTTTATTAACAATGATGACTTAATAATAAAATATAACAATTCTATTGAAATACGTTATTAAAAAAGTACATTATTAAATACCAACTAATTTACATGTCATCTAATAAATTTAGTCCTCGCGGCATGGTGTCGAGAAAGCCATCTAGCTGAATTTCCTCCCTGTATGTTTATGCGTAACCTTTGGGCGAGAAAATAAGCCATCTTGTGCTACAGTGGTATCAAAAAATTTAAAAATAATATCCGCGGATCCGAAGGATTCTTTTATTTCTTTAATATAAATATTTTTAAGCTATCTTTTATAACCTCACTAAGTTTTTGGTGCTCATATTATGGTTCTATTGAAGATTATTTAAACACAAAAAGTAACGGCTTTAAAAGTAAAGTAGCCTTATGTTCGAAAACAATTTCAATAGCAATAAAGTTAAGGAAACTTTACCTTTAAATCAATTTTCCTAACGTAATTGACTTCACAATTTTCCCGCCAATACGCCATATTGTTCTCGTCACCGCGTGATGTTATTGTGTCCGTAATGGAAAGGAAATTAATAGTTACAATTCACAAGTGTGTAAAACACTCGGCTAAGTCTTAAAGCAGACGGTATAAAGTCGAATATTGCTCAAATCACGACTAGATTACGTTGCAAGACTGAAACAAACTATTGAGGGATAGAATGACGTGAATACAATCGCAAATCGTTTCTATAAATCAGTTTCAAAGTTATTATTGTCAAGTGCAAAATGGATATTCATTTACTACGTACCGCATTGAAATTTGCTGTAATAGGGAAAACATATGCATATGTATATGTTGCATTGTTGTATATAATTATTGCTTCTATTATAAACAGAACGAAGTGGTATGATTTGTGAATTCCTATAATTATAGGTTTAAACAAGGCATTATTATGTCATATAAAAAATAAGTTTTGCTAACATCATCATGTACCCTTTTATGGGAAGCGTTGTAATGTGAAAAAGTTTTTATGTTTAAATATTTAGGTCCGATTTGATAATAAAGTTGTCCACATTAATTAATAGAAGATTTAGACCTGTATCCGTTTAATCAGAAATGGACCGTCCAAGTAATCGTGATAAATCTGTAGTTTCCAATCTATTAGTTGAAGGAAATTGCCTACGCCCCGTCTTAGATAATTCGACTAGGCTCCTAAACGTCACTGGGAGTCGTACGCTCACACGTCTTCGTGAGACAAATTTCGTTATTAAGGGTCGATAGAATCTACGGACGCCCGATATTTAATCTTTCTCGTTCCTTACCCAAATTATAGTATTTTTTGCTCTACCCAAATATAAAAATTTACACATGAATTACCACAAAATAGTTTCAAATGTGGGCGTGGAATCAATCATTGACCTTTAGTTCTTTGTCTATTAACGAAGATAATATGTGCAAAATTTTTCCTTTTCCTTTTTATCATTTTCTCCGAACGCTAAATACTTTAAGTGAATACAAAAGCAATTCCCCTCAAACAATTCGAAGGCTGGCAGACATAAAATAAGACACAGAAAGAAGTGTCTCAATCAAATAAACTGTTGAAAGACTTAAGGCGCTTTCTCGCGATACAATGAGAAATAAAAAAAAAAAAAATAGAAATATTGTGCGGCGCCTGTAATTGAATAAGGAGTGCGAAGACGTTGCTGAGAAGAAAAATTTCCCTCCACGGACCAATAACTAAATTATTCTATTCCATAATAAGTTTATTTACAATAACCTGGAATAAAATGCCTCGATCAATCTCTCGAGATTTAGATTTTTCGTATTCCTTGCTGGCTTCGCGATAAGTCTCGTGAAGTGGCGATTGCTGATAAAAAATTTAAGAATTGTATATTTTGAAGAGTTTGATTTTATGGTTTATTCATAAGATATGATTTTTATAGATATTGTGAAAATATTTGTGTATATTCTATTTTATACTTTAATGATATTCACGATATATTGCCCGACTTAATTATTTTTCTTTTTTGACGTTTATGTTGATCGCATGTCGTATGTAATTGTTGTATGTAATTCCTTAACAGGTATTTATATCATTATATTTTACAGCAATTATTATTTTGCCATTTAGCGTATGAATTAATTAAATAATATTTATCGTTTAAACTATCTACAAATGTTAGCAGATATATATATCGGTGTAAAAAATATTACAACACAATTATAATGCCAATTTATTATATTTACGTGTAATCTACATAAACGGACAAAAATCATTTTCACTTTATGAATTTGAACATCCCTAACTCCCGGCCAAGGCGCATTCAACCTCAAAGGAAAATATAGAAAATGACATGTCAAAACAGCACAGCATTTACACAATTGGCATCCATTGAGCACGGCGGAGGGAGGTGGAATTATCGGCGGAAAATTACAAGAAAACTCCCTTTCCTAATTTATTTATATATTGTTGCTGTATACTGCCAACACTGAGCAAGTACTTCAGAAGATTCTAGATGCGTTAACGTAAATTAAAACTGTTATAAAGTATAATAACTTTAATATTATATTACGTATTATGAATATATCTAGTAAAT